CGGGGCGGCAGCAGCCCGTCGGCCGCCGCCAACTACCTGCTCTGTACCAACTGCCGGAAAGTGCTGCGGAAGGTACGGGCTCGGCCTGGGGTCCGGCCCGAGAGGGGCGCTTCCTGCCGGCCGCGGCTCGGGCTGCTCGGCCCCGGGGCGCACTCTTGGAGCAGGACTCAAGGGGATCCCGGGGCACCTTCCCTACGCCGAGACCCAAAAAGAGGGCATGGGTTGAGAGTGGAGGATTTAGCCTGCTGCGGCTTTTATCTCCTCCGGGACAGATGCTAGTCCCGAAGGGTTGGGGATTGGGGGGGTGGGGTGGGCAAGGGGGCTCCTGTGGTCTGATTTTCGGTCCACCTCCCTACCTTCCCACCCCTCGGCCTGCTTCTTGGGCGGAGAGAGGGACGGACCTGTTCGATCCTCCTCCCGGTGCTCTTGGTGGAGGCCCGTGTGAAATCAGAATTGCCTGGTCTGTTCCCGAGGAACCTGACTCGCTTCTTGCTGTGCCTAACTCTTGCGGGTGTTGTTTCTGTTTATTCGGTTGCTTCTGCCTTCCTTGCGTGCTCTCCCCTAACAACCCCCTTTACATTCTTTTGATGGTCGTCTTGTGGCTACAGTTCGATCCTGAAAGGAACTGCTAAAGCAGCTTGAACTTTATGCCCATGGGAAATGCTGTTCGACCTTACAGTTCCTCAAGCTGGGGTTGGGGGAGGAGGAGACTGCAGTGGATGTGAGTTATCCCTTTTTAGCACTTACCCCTGGTCCCCCCGCTCCCCAGCCGCCGCACCCCGGTATTGCTCCAGAAGAATCAGACGCACAATCAGCTTATTGCTTCCCAGAGCGACTGATAGAAAGTTTACTCCAGTATTGTTTAGCTTACTTGGCTTCATCGCTCCGTTAAGGGGGAGGGGGCGGGCGCGTTGAAAAGATGTCACTTTAGACCAAGAAAAGCTTTTAATCAGACTTTAACAGCCGCCACTGGGTAATATTATAATCAGTTTATTCTTCTCCAGACTCTATTTTTACATTTCATTAAGTGGAAACAGTAGTGAAGGTGCTTCTGTTTGTCCAGTACAAATGAATTAAAATTGCTGAGCTGTGCAAATGATCGGGGCTGAAAGACTCAGATGAATACGGCTCCCTTTTAAGTCAGTTTCTCAAAATACAGTTCAATTAGGATTGTTCTTTATATATTAAAAAAAGAAAGAAAGCATGTAAGTAAGCAAGCTCAAATATTTGCGCTCTTTGTCCAAAAACTGTTTTTCTTCCTCTGTGGGTCAGGCCAAGTGCCAATCAAAGTTGTTTTTCAAGCCTCTTTTCCCTGCAGTAGGGCTGCTGCTCCCCCTCCTCCCCAATTTTATTTGAGAGCATGAAGAAAGCAAAGGGATTGCAGACTTGAAGTTAATCAAACAGTTAAATATGCCTTAAATTGTGTTTATCGCGTATGTTTTTCTTGAAACAGATTTTTTATTAAATGTGCATGTTGAATATGTGCAGTTATTTTTTTCCATAAACTCTGGGATCAAATTACAGTTGATACTTGCTCAGCTCATTGTAGGCCAGCTTGTGAGAAATGTAATGGATCAGAAGTGCAGAGCAGCTTAGTTGAATGTTAACTCTTTCACTTCAGGGCCATATGTCATCTGAACTTAGCTTTTTAAAAAAAATGATGATGATGATTTGCTGACTTTCAAAGTGATGTTACATCTTTGTCATGAAAAAAAGTGTCATTTGAGACATGTTTGATTAAACTCAAACCTGGTTTAAAAAAACAGGTAATTTTTTTTTCACTGAATAAGGAAAAAAAGAGCTGTATTGACTTTTTTTTTTTAATGGTTCTGGCAATTTGGTAGATGAATAAAATGTTTAGTGGTGGTATTAGGCTTCAGATTTTATTTTTCTTTTGAGGGAACCATGGCCGTGGACCCATGACACCTTGCTTGGTAGCATTTGAGACATCTTTATCTCTTTCTTTTAGCTTTTAAGAAACTATTTCTATTTATCTAGAAAGAACATCCTCATTTCTAGCCATTATTAAAAGAAAAGAAAGAGGTTGTGTATGGAAAATGGATATTCACCATTTTCATATTTTATAATTGCTATGCACACCTCTGCCAATATTCCAGTTTTTAGTTATTCCAAGGCATTTAATATTGATTCATGCAGTAGCATGAAATAACTTTAGATGGAAATGGGATTGTTTGAGCCAGTTATGACATGACTTGGCAACATTTGCAGCTTTTTAAGAGCGCTTTAAGTGCTCTTAAAAGATATCAAGTGTTTAGCATTTTAAATTCTTCATGGTTCTAAAAATAGCATGCAAGTGTTTTCTAATAAATAGATGGTTTTCTTTTTGATAGAAAGTATATAACTCTAAGCAAATTTCATCTATAACTCTCAAAATGGGATTCTCTGGATTCATTTTGTGTTTTCAACTTAATAAAGTGTTCAGTAATAACCAAGTGAATCGTAGTGTTTTGAATTTTAGTTCAGTGTAGTTGATGAAGGATGAATGAAACTCATGCACATCCACTGTGAATTACTCTTTGCTGTTATAATTCTCATTTCTGAAGGGGGAAGAGTCACCTTTATTTATGTGGCATAAGGCCTTTTCCTCTAAGTGGCTTCATTCGTTGCCCTGTGTTGAATTTGGGGGGAACTTCAAAAAAAAAAACTGAATTCACCTTCAAAGGAAATAATTTGGTTTAACCCCAAATCTGAAAATGGAATTGTATATTGTATGAGAATTACATATATTCTTAGAAATATCTTTATAATTTTGATTCAGTGTATTCCAAAATAAAGAGACTTCTTAAAGTATTGAATATACCTAATTTGGTAACCTTAAGTCAGTGGAAAGAATGGAGAGGTAAACCATACAGGGAAAGAAATGAACAAACGAAACTATCCTCAAGTCTATAACTCCTACATATTCTAACTTGCTCTGTTATCAATGAAATAATTCAATAAAGTTTTTAATGAAAGAGGAACTGCTTCTATTTACTTTGGAAAAGTTAATGCGTTATGAAGTGCAATATATTTTATTTGAAGAAATTCCACTGACAACTAGATACATTTCAATGGGGAGTGCCAAACTACATTAAGAAAGGTAGGTAACTGTCCATCCACTCATCTTCCAATAAATAGGAGGTGGCACATTACAATTTATTTTGAGTATTGAGCAGTTAGCGCTACTGAAGTGAATAAAACTCTGCACTTTAAGTTAGAGGACTTGACATTGAAAAATTCTTCATATGTTTAGGTAGTTACAGGGATATTATCTTTGGTAGATATTGCACTTTTTCCACTTTGCTTATGTAATCACTTATTTTGACAACTTTTTGATGGTTTTGAGAGTGAGGAGACTGGAAGCATAATATGGGAAATGTTAGACTAAACCATATGAATCTCATTTTTATAGTTAAAATTGTCAGTTGAAAGCAGTTTTGTATGTTTCAGCCAATAGGATGGAATTGCTTTGGCTGTGGATTAGCTGTATCCTGCCTTGGTTGATCAGGTTTCTTACACGCATATTTTTGATTGTCAAAAGTAGTTTTTTAGCTTAGTTTTATCTTAAAATACACTAAGCAGAGATCAAGCAGTGAATTTACAGCAGCAAGCCATTATGAAATGGTTTTCAAACTTTTCTTTTATGGAGCCCTGAGATGCTTCAGGGTTCAGAAATGCTTGAGTTGGATTAAATTTTCAGTACATTTTACGTTATTTTAAAATGATAATTTAAGCATGCAACTGCCCCCAAATCTTTTGTTACAAGATTATTCTTGTGCAGGCCTCGAATTAAAACTTGTTCTGCTGCCTTTGTACATATACTTGAACTTTTTTGTCAGTAAGACATTGATGAGAACGATTGTCATTGATTATGAATGAAGCCATGAGCCTTTTAAACAGATTCCTTTCTGTACCTGTCTACTCATGTTCAATTTTCACTTGTGAGAAAACAAACTTATTAATCAGTAATTTTTAGTTTATAGCTAAACACTTATAAAAATCACTGTTTTGTGTGTATTTATGTGTTTCATAGTTCAGGTTCCATGTAAGATATCATTTATAAAAGGGATTCTTCTCCTTCCACACCCTCCCCACCACCAAATAAATTAACTGCTAAAATAAACTGCAAACGTAGTGATAACTAGAAGCCACAAGATGAGTTCATGGTGAGGTCTTTGATGGGTCTTTTCATTTTGGGCAAGTAAGTGAACTTCTTGAAGCCTAGTTTTCTCTGTAAAATGCAGGTTGCTGCACAGTTGGAGAGAGGTAATGTATGCTAAAGTAATCTGTAAGCCATAAAGCATGACTCCAAATATAAGCAAGCCAAGCCAATGTATTTTCCCTATTCCTAGAACAGGCTCTTTATGTGTTGTGGCAACATATTTCGATACATACTAACTTGGTTGGTCTTTACTTTTCTGTCCTGTGTAATTATTGCCTGTACATGAGAGGTAAACGTATTATGCTTTTCATTAGAATGATCAACATACTACTTTTTATTTGCATATTTATATTTGTATTCCACCGATCCCCCCACCCCACCCCCCCAAACAGTAATCCAGTGCTTTGCTTTTGGCATTTTAAATAATTAAATAAAATAAAATGACCTTTTCGGACAGTGCCGCAGATGAGGGAACTTGGTATTTGGTTTGGAAAGACTAAGAATTAAGGATGACTGTGCTTAGAAAAAGCTGGGGCAAATCTAGGGTAAAGCAAAGAATTTTTAATTATTTTAATTTAGGAGAAGAGCGATGGAAGTAAAAATCTCTAAATCTTCTTCTCCCCATCTCTTCATCCTCTTTTTCCCTTTTGAAGGTCCGGGGTTATAACTTACGTTTGTGAAGACCTTTACCGTTTTTACAGTGCTTTCACGTTATCAGTTGATTCTCACAAACTGAGAAAATTTGAGACATGGTCTCTGTCATACAACTAGTAAAAAGTCTATTTAATTCTTAATACGATCTGTGTAATAAACTAAAAAGCATATTCGAATTGCCCCTTGCAGTATTGAGGTTGTCAGGAAAAACACCCACCCACCTCTCAGCTTCGCCATCTGTGGATTGCCTGTGGGT